GTGATTGGCTGATTAGAAATTAAGTGTTAATGAGCAGTTGGACAGGTGTACCTAATAAAGTGGCTGGTGAGTGTATGTATCTGCTGCTGCTGCTGCTGCTGCTACACCCAGATTTCCCTGCGCGGGACAATAAAGGCTGTTTCGTTTCTATTCTAGTCTATTTCTAAAGACCCTCACTTGATGTTTCATGAGCCACAATGGGGTCCCAGCCTCAACTTAAGGCGCCTCTGGTCTAAGAAAAAGTTATAACGTTTTTATTTCTAACATGGTTGTCGTTTGTCTCCAGCTGTGCCCCATAAAATTGGACGCATCATTGAAGGGAGCCCCGCAGACAGGTGTGGGAAGCTGAAGGTCGGGGACCGGATCCTGGCTGTGAAYGGACAGTCAATCATCAGTATGCCACATGCTGACATCGTCAAACTCATTAAAGAYGCCGGATTAACGGTCACGCTCCACATCATCCCAGAGGAAGGTGAGCGTAAACGTCCACGGTATTATTAATAAAACAATATCTGCATCCTGAGCCTCCTGCCACCTTCTGCTGACCACAGGCTCCCAGTCTGGACCCAACTCAGAGAAACAGAGCCCCATGACCCAGAAACACAGCCCCCAGACCCAGCCCAGTCCTGTAGCCCAGCCGAGCCAAGGAGGCGCCCAGCCGGGCCAAACGGCCATTCAGACGCCGGTCCAGCCCGGCCCGACACCAGCTCAGACGAACCAAATCGTGACTGGACCTCCAGCACCAGCAGCCTCGCAGCCCGCACCGGCTGGAACCCAGCAGAGCCCCATCACCCAGACTCCTGGCCTCCCCCCGCAGCTCTACCTCCACGACGGCAGGTGTGGATAACAAAAGATCATATTTTTACAGATCAGTTCGATAAAACCCACAGCTGGTTCTAGTCCCAGTCAGTCTCTGCCTCGGCTCGGCCTTGTTGCATAACACCACTTAGTGCTTTCAGCATCAGTGAATAATTTAGCGTACGGTCTCTTTTCTATAATTTAGGAGCCCAGCAATCAGGCGCTGTTACGTGTCAAAACTATGAAAGTGTGAGCTCTTACTTTGATAGGTATATAGATTTCAGTTTAGACACCTGGAGACTTTAGACCCATTATTCAAGTGAGAACCTGAGAAAAGCTTTCAGATGTGAAGCTGGTGTTTCCATCCTGCAGACTGAAGTGACCTTTGAGGTTTTTGTCATCTTGTTCCAGTTTTCTGCTGCTGTAGTGTTATTAAAGAAACTGTCCTCTCTGCAGTRACCTACAGATGTGAGGGGTGTTCAGTGACTTCTGCCTTTAAAATGCCTRTGACCTCATGTTTTTAATAAACATGATGGCATGTTTTGAAAGTTAACACAAATACTTTAAAAAAATGAATACTGCTGAGATGAGATATTAACATGTGAAGTAACAGGAAGTGATGTCAGATTGTAAACAGAGCGCTGCTACAGTGGCCAACAGACCGTAGAGAAGAATCTGTTTCTTTAGATTATTGTGAGTCACCATCAGAGAGATGAAGGGTTCAAAATATTGTTGAATAAACAAAGAGCAGAGTTCAGTTTCTAAAGCAGTTCCCCTTTGATGTCACTTCCTGTTCTGCTTTAGCCGAGCCAAGTTCAGAAGAAAACACGCCYGTTATTGGTAAAACTGGTAAAACGTGTGTTTTTATGCCCAGTTTCTTAAATAAAAAGATGTTTTCTTTGACATTTTTGAAGGATAAGCATATCAGACTCTTTAATATAGTAATTTTTTGTCTGATTTCAGGTCAGAGGTAAAAGCACGGCAGGACGTCAAACCCGACTTCCGTCATCCTCCATTCACTGATTATCGTCAGCCTCCTGTCGACTACCGTCACCCACCGGTGACCGATTACCGCCAGCCCCCCACACTGGACTACAGACAYCCTCCTGGCCTGCTGGACTTCAGGCAGCACCCCGCAGCTGCACAGTTTCCTCTGGGGATCCCGGCTGACTTCAGACCACAAGTAGGACACACATTCATATTTAAGATAGTTCCTTTTTTTTCACACATTATTCATAAATGAGAGTTAATCTGAGTTTTCAGTTTGAACTGCAGGACTATGATTACTTCACGGTGGAGCTGGAGAAAAGCTCGAAGGGCTTTGGGTTTAGTATCCGCGGGGGCAGAGAGTACAGCATGGACCTGTTTGTGCTGCGCCTCGCAGAGGACGGTCCTGCCATACGAAACGGAAGGATGAGGGTGAGATCACAGAAACTCTGGTTAAAAACAACTTATTTAGTTTTTTAAAAAGACAAAAGGTTTGATGGTTCCAGACTCKGATTGTGATCCTGGGCAGCTGAAGTAGTCATTCCCGTTTTGTCCTCCCTGTCCCCTGCATGTGTCCTCCAGGTGGGCGATCAGATCATAGAGATTAACGGGGACAGCACTCGGGACATGACTCACGCTCGCGCCATCGAGCTCATCAAGGCCGGCGGCCGGCGGGTCAGGCTGCTGCTGAAAAGAGGCACGGGACAGGTGCCGGAATATGGTGGGTTCATGTCTCGAGACCCTCGCCCTTCCCTCTCAGATGTCTTTTTTTTAACCAGGCTGACTTTCACTCCACAAAGTTTTACTCAAACATATTAACATCCATAAATGTCTTTCTGCCTTTTTCTTTCTTGTCTGAATCGATCTGGTGTTTGTGTAGAAAACTGCTCTGCTTTWAGTCTAATGATGGGTATAGGCTTTTACTTGCCTTCCTTTAGGAATGGTACCTTCCAACCTCTCCATGTGCATGAAAGGTGACACACTAAGCTCCCCCTATTTCTTCTTAATGGGCCACTCTAAAGACACGGTTTGTGAAAAACTGCATGCCTTTCTCTCCATACYGATTAATCTGTGTTTTCTGCATGGTGTGATCATATCTGCATGGATAACAGACCTGTTTGACTCGTGTGTATTTGTTTGCTGTGGTAAGAGTTGGTTTGAAGAGATGCTGTACATGAAGGTGTTTGAAGACAGGWTCAGTCTCAAGTGGAAAAGTGACTTTGTGCATATTTGCATGGTTTCATCTTAAAGTTTGATGTTCCAGCTCGTGCATGATGATGTGCTTTTCTTTTTATCTCACATTCCTTAAGATCTTTTTTCTTTTTCGTCCTTCGGTAGACTGTGCCGGCCCCTGGGATTCCCTTTCTACAGCCCACTCTGCCCTGCAGGAAGTGACCGTGGAACCCCATCTGAGTCCGTTGCTCTCATCTCATCCAGCTTCAGCCCCAGGATCCCCTCATCGACTCCACCTAGAGGCCAAAGTGTGCACGGCAGACAAAGCTCCAGCGCCGACGGACCACGGCTCGGTCAGGAGGGCTGCAGGTGGCAGGTCCACCGAGCAGAAATGCGTCGTAAGGGGACAGGGGGCCCCTCAGAGGTCCGGAGAGGCGAGTCGCGGTGAAAACCAGCTCCGGGCTTTGCCTCCCAAAGCTGCTGCTGCTGCTGCGGGGAGGCCCAACGAGAGGAGGGAGATCTGCTCCCCCTGCTGCGAGAGGAAGGGCCGGCAGACCATGAGCTCCGCTTCGCCCTTCCTGACCGTGAACCTGAACGGAGGCGGGGACGGACCCCCGAGCCTCCAGGAGAGGCTGAAGAACAGCGGCCACGCTGGGCTTCGATGCCCCCCGAAGGCGACAGAAGACCCTCCGGCGAGGAGCGCAGCCGTCTCCCCAGGACCCTGGAACATCCCCGGCTCTGACAAACTGCCCGGCACCTTCCGGTCCTGGACCTCTACGGTGAGCAGGTAGAAAGGATCCGACTGGTTTGGGCCCAACAGCATCTCTCCTGGCCTCTCTGTCCTGTTTTTTCATCTCGTCTCATTTATAGAGGATTATTTCACCCACCACCTTAACGAGCAGAGACACTTTTCAAAACCTGATGAAGACCCTCACATGTGAACGCTGACGTTCTGATCTGAAGCGTTGCACCTTTAACTCCAGACTCAACGTGGCTCCAGAGAAGAGATTTACTTTTTATTGTCAGACGGAGGCAGTGACACTGAATCGTTACAGCTCAACATGCGCTACATGCCTACCAATATATTAAACTGTAAAGATGTTAAAAATATGTACATTTGATGAACTTCAGGCAGTGTTGTAGTTAGATACATTGTACAAAATTTAAAAAAATAACAGCCGAGGACAGGATTTGATTTTTTTTTAAAGCATTCCTGTTTCCACAGCCTCCTCCATAACATATCAAAGACTTTCACCAAACCTGGAGGGAGGCGGAGCTTGTGCGCATGGAAACGACGCACGTCATTTCGTCTGAGCGAACACGTCCCCCGCCCATCATTTTAAACGACCGACCAGTCGGCTTTAGTAAGAACTCATGCAGCGCGAGTCGTGTTTTTGTTTAACTCTGAACAGGAAACCTTTGTCCAGTCTCTGATTTCTATGCCTTTTTACTGTGCTAAGTGTACCACATCACTGTGGGAGAGGGGCCGAGGTGGTCGATGGTTCTGAGCTGAGGCGGAGTGCCTTACTCACACTAACGCAGAGCTGTTCAATCGGTTTTTAGGGGAACTCGGGTGGATCACGCACACGTCAGCCAACCGCTGAGCTGTGGCGTTTTTTTTTTAAGCAGTATGTAAAAATCTTGATGCACTCTTTAAGCTGTAAAAGCTCCATCCCCGAGAGTGTTTTTTTTTTTTTTTGAGGGGAGAAAATGTAGCCTGTAGCATCACGTTGCTCTGTTTGTCAGGACCAGGTTTTGAACCGGAGCGGAGCACGGTTTGTGTATTTTACTTTTTATCTGTTTTGCCAGCATCCAGAACGTCTGAACCCAAGGTTTGAAAAGATTTGAGGAATAGGAACATTTCTATTAGGACCATTCAGCATCCACCAGAGCTTTTTTTTATTATTATTATTGTTGTTTTTGTTATTTTTGAGGACTTGAAGCACCTGCATCCCGGGACACTAAGAGGGTCTCCAAACTTCACCAGGACTGACTAGTATTTGCAGTAAAAACACGGTCGGGAGGATTTCTGAGACCAAACTGTGGTTTGTGGTGAAAGCTGAGTTAGCGAGGACAACGTTGTCATTAGGCAGTAGAAATGTGTTTACTGTAGACAAATATCAGMGTTTAGAAAAGCGGGCCTCTGTCCCCCCCCACTTGTCTGCTCTGACTGGTTTTATACAAAAGGAAAAAAACAAACTGCTCTGAACTCATGAAGGATGGCACGTTCATACCCCCCCCCCCCCCCCCATTGAGATCCAGTATAATTGTGTAGTGTTAATTGTGTAATATTCACCTTGTACAGCTGTATTCCTACAAATATGGTTTACTGTATCATTGATACTGTAGTTTCAAAGACGTGAACAACTATTTTTATGAAATGCGACAGTACTGATATATTACATTTTGCTAAAAAAACTTACAAAAAACTTGTTTACTGAAAGATACTCTGAAATACTGTCAAATAAACTCTTGACATGGTGTAAAAATATTTCCTCTGGAGATTTTTACTCAAACTGAAACAAGTCCTGGTATAAAAACTGTTGGTAGAATAAACCTCAGATGTGTTTTTGTTTAGAAAACTGCAGGATCAAAACAGTTTAAAGGGTTTTAGAGCTTCCACACAAAACGTATTAAATATTTGTAATTAAATCATTAAACACGGTTTTTAAAAGTCACCCCACAGTTTATTTTTTCTCTGGAGTTCAGACATTTTAGTAAAATGTTGCCATCTTTGTCTAAAACTAGCTCAGTGACAAAAAGGGTCAAATCAGCCCAAATAAATATCTGTGGGTATAAAACGAGCCTGACGGTACCAGCAGTGTCAACACTTTCAGAGCAGCTTTCCAGGGATGATAGAAAGTTAGAGGTCAGGGAAGGACGAGGGTTTGTAAAATAAAACGAGTTGTAAACGTTTTGCCAGCATCTGTTTGTGGGTCAGAACCGGAGCCGAGGTCTCGTCACTGAGCGTAATCTCCAGGAGGAGGTCCGGTCTGAGCCCCTCCCGGTGGGATCAGTGGGGCCTGCTGAAAGGAGGAGAAACTGTTTGTAAAATCTAGAAAACAAAAGAAAATGTTGCTTTTTTAAAATGTGCCCTTACGTTCAGACGGCTGTAGGCTCCCATTTGAAATTTACAGCAAATGACGTCGAACAGGAATCCCACCATGCTGTGGATCATTCCTGCACAGAAAGAGTCCTCAAACGTTTGTTCATTTGGACGAAGAATACGACAAACTGAAGGTGATGTTTTTATTAAATGTTAGTTTTCTTTTTATTTGATGGTATTTTAAGTGGCGCTCTGCAATTTCAAAGCAGATGAATAATACACAAAGCTTGATGTTTTTTCTGATTTCCATTGATTAAGCATTGATTTAAAAATGTCAGCTGGAGTCACAAATACTTCTCCAAAATGTCAGCGTCACAGTTTTATCAGCAGCTCATTATGTTTGTAAACACGTCTCTTTATATTTCTGAAGATTTATTTTCAGAAAACCTGGTAAATTTTTACTTTTTACTTATTTTTCCCCATTATTGATTCATTTTAGATTATTTTATCATGTATAATTTAGCTCTAATATTCAGCCATAACCTAAAAATATAAACTAAAACATTTTAAAGTTTCATTTTAAAAGGGAGTGTTACAGACATATGGTCAAAACTGACTTTTCAAAGAACATAAAACCACATTTTAACAGGATTCTGCACTAACCCAGGGTATTTGCAGGTTTTAGCAAGTCAAATTTAAGACTTTTTACTGACTTAATTTTAGRTATGTGAATTTAAAGTGTCCGTGACGTCCAATTTTTGTAATATACATGAATGCATTTTTAGAAAGAGGACATTGATAAAATATTGCAAAAGTAATTTCATGTTACTGAGATGAACAGTTGTTGAGATATTTGCCTGTGAAGTAACAGGAAGTGATGTCAAAGGGGAATGTCTGCATGTGAACAGAGCATTGCTAAAATGGCTAACAACCCATCCTGTAGAGAAGAATCTGACGTTTCTTATTATTTTGAGTCACTATCAGCGAGAAGAAGAAGAGTCCGAGTTCAAATTGTTTCAATAAACAAAGACCAGAGAGTTTTCTTTGTTAGAGTTCCCCTTTTATGTCACTTCCTGTTTAACTTTGGCTGYGCCAAGTTCAAAAGAAAATATGCCAGTTATGAGACAAATTGGGTTAGATTGTGTGTATTATTCCAACTTTATTTAATATAGCAATGTTTTCTTTGACTTTTTGTATGAAGGATATGCATGTCACAGGTACTTTAAGACTTTTTGAGGACCTGCAGATCAGTTATAAATACTTGATGGAYGTTGGTAAAATTACCTGTGGTGGAGAAAATGCCTCCAACGATGCCGCAGAGTCTGACGAGGAACTGCCACAGAGGCATGTGCTGCTCCGTGACTTTGACCATTAAYGAGCTGATGTCGTATTTCATAAAAATCCCTGAGACTCCGTGGCTGCCTGCAGCGTGKTTTATCGCTCGTTCCTGCAGAAAAGACAAAAACAGGAACACATTCATCACAGCGACGCTGACTCGACMAATCACATACACAACCTCTAAAAAAATAAAATAAAAAAATACCCGCTCTGTGACCGAGTACTGATGTGTTTCTGCAGACACTCTGTAGGTGTTCAGCTTGGTGGGCACGATGGTGAGGAAGTACTGAAACATGTGGTTAGCTGGAGACGAGAATCAAATTTAAAAACATTAGTGATAAAAGAATAAAAAGAGTTTATTTGCAGGAGCTGCCTTTCCTAATGAAGGTTGAGTCCCTGCATTTTGAACATTAAAATATCTGRCAGTTTGACGCACAGTCGGGGGCGATTTTCTCCGTGCCGTCCAGAGGGCTGATGAGTCCAGGGACGGCTTCTCCGAAAGACAGGTGGTCGATCCGGTGGGAGAAGTTGTAAGCTGCAACGACGACAAACCCGATCAGCCTTACAATGTTTACAAAAATAAAAACTATCAAGTCAGAAAGATGAACTCACAGTCATGGCTGACTAATGCAGCCAAGTGGGCGTGGCCTCTGGGGTGTGGGATGGACCTGCACAGGGATCAAAATCTATTACACACAATCAACAGTCTAAAGCACTGAAACATCATTAGAAACTATAAGTACATACTTGCCAACAGTGATGTGGAAATTTCCTGCTACTTTGTTGACATAAAGGTGTCCGTGTATCCTGCAGGCAGTGAGGGAACGAGCGCCGTCCTCGCTAAAGGAAGGAAAGTAAACAAGGATGCTGAAAACKTCCAGGTTTTATCCTCAGGATCGACTTAAAGCGCTCACCTGTGACTGTAAACAGGAGGAGGTCCTTTCATCGCCGTCTTGAAGAGCACATCCTGCAGGGAGTGCTCCACTCTCAGACGCTCCTGAATGTGCAGCAGAGTCCTGGAGGAGAGCAGTGGAAATCATCACGACGAAGAAACCAGCACCAGATTTAAATCAGCTTTTTTTTAAAAACACAGTTGTGTTGATTTAAATCTTACATGTGCCACAGTCTTTGCTCTGGTGGGAGCTCAAAGTTAACCTAAAAGTAATAAAACAAAAACACGTGTCAGACAAAAACAGACACAGTTTTCTCCAGGTGCTCTGGCCTTCAGGCTTCTGCGATCTCAACGGGATTCACCTGGTTAAATAAAAGGTAAATGAATTAACCCTCTCATAAAGAAGCTCACACTCACTGGTTCATATTTTAAACCGTCAGAGGCGACCATGGTCTCTGCCAGATCCAGGACGTCTGCACCAATATCTGCATTCAACCAGAAACCACAGTTAAACACCTCAAACAGTTCATGTTAAATTAACAATAACAGATCTGCTTRTAAAGCTAAATAAACGTTTTCATGTAGTTTATTTGAAGCTCAAATGTGCAAAATAATAAACACAGAAGTCATTTTTGTAAAAGTGTTTCCTGGAAAAAAAATTGCCATGGCGCTTATGTCCACAAAAACAAAATGCTGAACTAAATGGTTCATAGCAGAATGACTTYGTGTACTTACACTGGCATCTCATGGCCACAGTGATGTCCACGTTGATTTTAAGTTTGCTGTAAGGACACAACTAGTTAGATCAATAAACAAAACCACTTTACAGTTTGTCCTGATGCATCTCAGTAATCCAGGAAAAAATCAAAAAGAAAAAAAGTTGTATAGGTCTTCTGGACGGGTTCTTCTCT